CTTTATTGTATACTGTATTCTACTTCTATACTATTTTGAGATGTGTATAAGAGACAGGTATTCTATATTCTACTTTCTACTTTATTAGATACCGTATCCTATATTCTAACTTTTTACTTTATTGTATACTGTATTCTACTTCTATACTATTTTGAGATGTGTATAAGAGACAGGTATTCTATATTCTACTTTCTACTTTATTAGATACCGTATCCTATATTCTAACTTTTTACTTTATTGTATACTGTATTCTACTTCTATACTATTTTGAGATGTGTATAAGAGACAGGTATTCTATATTCTACTTTCTACTTTATTAGATACCGTATCCTATATTCTAACTTTTTACTTTATTGTATACTGTATTCTACTTCTATACTATTTTGAGATGTGTATAAGAGACAGGTATTCTATATTCTACTTTCTACTTTATTAGATACCGTATCCTATATTCTAACTTTTTACTTTATTGTATACTGTATTCTACTTCTATACTATTTTGAGATGTGTATAAGAGACAGGTATTCTATATTCTACTTTCTACTTTATTAGATACCGTATCCTATATTCTAACTTTTTACTTTATTGTATACTGTATTCTACTTCTATACTATTTTGAGATGTGTATAAGAGACAGGTATTCTATATTCTACTTTCTACTTTATTAGATACCGTATCCTATATTCTAACTTTTTACTTTATTGTATACTGTATTCTACTTCTATACTATTTTGAGATGTGTATAAGAGACAGGTATTCTATATTCTACTTTCTACTTTATTAGATACCGTATCCTATATTCTAACTTTTTACTTTATTGTATACTGTATTCTACTTCTATACTATTTTGAGATGTGTATAAGAGACAGGTATTCTATATTCTACTTTCTACTTTATTAGATACCGTATCCTATATTCTAACTTTTTACTTTATTGTATACTGTATTCTACTTCTATACTATTTTGAGATGTGTATAAGAGACAGGTATTCTATATTCTACTTTCTACTTTATTAGATACCGTATCCTATATTCTAACTTTTTACTTTATTGTATACTGTATTCTACTTCTATACTATTTTGAGATGTGTATAAGAGACAGGTATTCTATATTCTACTTTCTACTTTATTAGATACCGTATCCTATATTCTAACTTTTTACTTTATTGTATACTGTATTCTACTTCTATACTATTTTGAGATGTGTATAAGAGACAGCAATAGAACAGGGTGTAAAATACAGCATACAATTTACAATAAGCTAGAAAGTAGAATATAGAATACAGTGCACAATAGAGTAGAGAGTAGGATATAGTATAAAATAGAATAGAGTGTACAATAGAACAGGGTGTAGAATACAGCATACAATTTACAATAAACTAGAGAGTAGAATATAGAATAGAATAAGGAGTAAAATATATAAAGTGTAAAGTTCTTTTCTTATTTTGTCTTTTTTTTATTGATTTAGCGATCAGAATATCTACATTCTATAAGCTAATGTGAAGTATAGAGTTAAGTATATAGAATACAGAGCATAGTATACAGTAGAGTATAGAGCATGAGGTTCAGCCAATTAGCTCAGAAAGGCTTAATAGAGCGTAGCTAATTATTCGCATAGATGAAAGCTAGAATCGCCGGTGAGAAATAAGAGCAACAAAATCAGCAAACTAAGAGGCCACTGAAGAATATTTTCGATTCCGTTTGAACCGTTTGCGCCACCCCTTAAGCCATTCCAACGTACACCTGGAACACCCTGTATAACTTCTCGAAGAGCGGCCACTTCAGGATGCACGAGCACCGCGTGAACACGTAGCATTCTATTCGCGGCACAATTTTCGAGGATCGATATATCGAGCGGCGTGTCCCGTCGGTCGACAACGATGTCTTCAAATAGCACGGTAGTTAACGTCTCTGAGAGTCACCCTCAAGAAGGGTGGCGCGAGAGCGAGAGGAGAGACACTGCAGGATTCTACCTCTTCCCTCCTCGGCTCTTTCGTTTCGTTTCTTCTTCCTCTTCCTTTTCCTCTTCCTCTTCCTCTTCCCCTCGGCATTGGTCACGTTCCACCGTTCTTCCCACCCTCCTCTTTCGTCGCTTCGACACTACCACGCCATAATCTATCCATCCTTAAAGCAGGTACCACCATTCCAATGCGAACGTGATTGCACGGGCCCCTAGCGTCGAGGGTCTAAGTAGCTAAACGATCGCTGAAACGATCGCTAAATACTTCGTCTAGTATCGATGATGGTTTCAGGGCTGACAAATTGCCTGTCATCGAGCTGTGGCTCGAATCATACCCCTCTGCGATGCCTTTTGTTTTCAAGGCTTTGTTCTACCAACCTTGGCGAATAAAAATATTTATTTGATATTATTAATTGCGACGATGGTTCGCCATCGAGCTGGAACTCGAATCATCCCCTGTACGGTGTACTTTGTTTTCAAGATTTTCTTTTATCATTCGTGACAAATGTAAATATTTATTTAATTTTATTAATTCTACAATAGTCCAGTTGCTAAATACCTTATCCAGTATCGACAACGGTTTAGGGGTTGGCGAATTGCCCCTGTCATCAAACTGCGAATTATTCTCTGTACGGTACCCTTTATTTTCCAGTTCATGTTTTTCCAGCCCTTACAAACTAAAACGATTCATTTCGCTATATAATCGCTACAATAATTTGTTGTATTCTTGAACCATAAAATTGTTATTGTTATTATTATGTGAACGAGAGAGATTCTTGATTGTAATGACCGTATTGACTGTATTCAAGTATAATGATTTCGTCGGATTCTTATAGCTTATTTACAACCCCTTATAGTTGTCTACGTGTACTGCATAATTCTGGCATTAAAAAATATAATTTTAGAACATTGAGCGTATAGAAATCAGAATAGTGTATTTACAATTAAATATGGTAGCGTAGATTTAATTGAGAACCTAATGATTGCAAGTCATTGCACCTAGCATTGAATCAAGATTTACATTGATCGTTATGTTGTTCGTCCGAAGTCGAATGTTACCTCGTCGAATAATTTTGGAGGTTTCCTAAAATTGTTGAATTTCATCAGAATTACTCCGATTAATCTGTTAACGAATCTCCCACGATCTCGTAACCGAGATGAACTCCGACAAAGCTGCTTTACGAAATGCTCGAATAAATCGCCGACCATGTTTTAGCATGGATCCGTTCATAATAGATGCAAATAAATTCGTCTTGAAACGATGACACTTGCCGTTAACCGTGCCCGAGCGTTCGAATAATTGCATATTTAAACCAACGAGTTCCTCACGTATCTGTCCGGTTTCTTCCTTTCGTTCTTTCGCTAATGATAATAGAAACCACGGGAGGATTGGTTTTCGCTGGTTAAAGATTTCAATCGCGGCGATCAAAGAAATCCGGTGCGCTACCTCTGATCTTTTCTTCTTTGTTAGTCTCTGGAGAGTCGCGGCGTTGCAACGAGTGCCGAACGTGTTCGTTGCAACGTGCATTCGACGATGAAATTAATTCGACTGCCTCGATGATGCTACCATTTTACTCTGGAGTAAAATCAGCTCGCTTACGATCGTCGTAAAGAACAATGACTGCAGACATTATGCATTTCTCGACGAAATTCAACGCGCGTGGTTTGAAATTAATTAATCCTGTAAAATCTTATGCATCAAATACGAACGAACAAATACTGTTGGAAACTTCTTCTTCTTATTTCTCGTTCACTATCAATTTTAGTAAAGGACATTTGTAGTGGATAATATTAGAAACGATCAAATAATGCTATAATTAATATTTCACTCGCGCAATAGAAATTTCTGCTCATTGTCAACTTTTTCACCGTATATAAAATGGTGATCTTAGTTGCTTTCTTCAAATATCGACAAATAATAAGTGAACGAACATGTGTAGGACCACTAATACATTTTATATTAGCGCAAAAAGAAAACTGTTCCTACACATAGACGATATTGATATAGTTTTGTCGACGATCTGTTAATAAATTGTTTATAGAGTACCATTATACCCGATCAAAGTGGCATTGAACGATTAAAAATTTCATTGCAATTACTAAACCGCGATTTCTACAGCAATTTCGCCAAACAGTGTCAAAACAAACGTGTCTTACTGTCTCAAATAATTTTAGCGGTTCGAAACTAATAAATATAGGTATCCTTAATTTCTGTCAAAGCTTCCAACATTTTCAATTTTAGTTCTTCGCGATACAAATAATTGTCGAAATATTTCGATCAGCCTGCTACAAATACGAACTCAAATCGATTCGCAAAACGTTAACAACATTCCGTAACTGAGTACATCCCTCCTTCGAGAACGCGGATTGCGACGAGAGCATTCTCTATCAACAGTCTCCCAAAATCATCACCCGTCAGTCCCCTGAACCCAACTTCTAATCCCGACGAAGCAACCAGACCCCGAAGAAGCTGTCCACGCGGAGGCCCGCTAACCCAGGTTCTCCGCAGCGTTATTCTTCGGTTAGCCTTGATCGGTGCAATTAGCTTTTGTCCGAAGTGCTGGATTACAGCAGAACAGCATCCGCGGACGATGAAGACGACGACGATGCCACGGACATGCCGCATTGGGGGAGGGTGAGTTTGTCGGTGATCGTGGTGGGCACCGTGACGGTACAAGCCCAGAGGGATTACCACCACTTCTTTTCGTCTCCGACAACGACGACGTCGACGACGTCTACGACGACGACGACGACGACGACGACGACGACGCCGGTCCTCCGCGATACTCTCGACCCTTTCCCAACCTGTGTCTTCGTGTACGTCACGAGCGTGAGTTACCCCTTCTATACCCCATTCTTCTTCCCTCTGTATCGAGTTAAGAGGCCGAAGCGCGCGGGAACAGAGGGCGGAGGGACGTGGAACGAGGGGGTAGGTATATCGATGCTGGACCACCACCTCTATCGCCACCACCACCGCTACCAACTTTGCCACCACCTCCACCTCTGCCTCTCTACCGCCGACGATGAGGATTCTGCAGCTTCGGCAAAGTCGTTTGAAGAAGTCAGTCGACGGTCGCACGTCCTCGCGATTCGGGAATAACGATCACCGAGGACCGAGAGGAGACGGCAAAGAAAGAAAGAAAAAGAGAGAGAGAGAAAGAGAGGAATACGGTCTAGGGGTCGTCAGGAACAACGGGAACCCCGGCTTCATTGCCGGAAGAACGCGATCGTCGGAATTCTTTCTCCAGTCTTTGCCAGCTTCGCGATTGCGATTTCTGTACGGTATCGCGGCCTGGTCGCACGGTTCCTCGACTTCTGGTAGCAAGAAGATGCGCTGAGCAGCAACCCCGAAGAATGTCAATGGACGAGACGCATGGGGGCGGCATGGTCTCCGCAATCCTATCATCGGCTGTGCTTCTTCTCCTGCTGATGGGACGCGCCGCGGACGCTCAGTAAGAATCCTACCCGTGAATCGCGATTCCCTCCTTTGCGGCTCGCTGGCCAAGGCGGCCATCTTAGGGCGACCCGGAGAGGACACTCCTGATTGGACTTATGCTCCTGTGCGGGGACCTTGCGACATTTTACGATGTGTACCGGTCGAAACGCATATTTTTTCCACATGGAGAGAGCCTCGGGTTCGGTAGTTTCGGGTGCGCGGAGTATTCCGAAATGATTTTTGGGGAACGAGGAAGCTCCGGCGTGGAGATTAGGATCTTCTGTTAGGGTATGCTCTGGAGATTTAGGATCGAAATGGTCTTGGGACAATTTTTCTTTGATTTTTCACGTTTATGATTGCTCTTGATGCCAATCTCGTTGTTAACGTTGATCTCTGTGAGAGTATACTAATGAAGGTATACTGCGTAGCTCTTGTTTATTTTATAATATTTACGGATTTCGAGACCGCTGTCGACGAAGTCAACAAAGTGGTTGGAAGAAGATCCTTGCTGTATTTTCGAACAGAATCCATTTAAATGTGACGTTTCGATTAACTATACGACGATCGTCGTCAGGAGCAACTCTTAATTTTGTAAGACATTCACGGTATCTTTGAATTCGAATGTCGAAACAGCCAATGAAACGATTACAGAATGGTTCGTGTTACAAAATCAATTTTAACGTCTACATTAATTTCACGCTTCGCGAAAGTCGGCGTTCGTTGCTTCAGAATACGTGCTCCCGAAAACAGAGAATACATACACGACACAATATCCATCAATATCTAATAGATTATCTTCCACAAAAGCAACGAACAACGATATATACTTGAACTATTCAATCAATTGTTTTCTTAAAAAATAAATAATGAACAACAACGTGCGTCGATATTCGATCAAGCGCTTTCTTGCAGAAACAAGGAACACGTGATACAGTATTCATCAATATTCAATCATGCACTTTTCCTCGACATCGAATCGTTACAATTTCCAATGTCGTCCGTTGTTTAAACAGAATAAAATCAAGAATTTATCAGAGCCAACTGATTCCTTTCACAAAATCAATTGGAAACAGTGAAATTATGGTCGTTCGTAAATCGAGATCCGGCGCGATAGTTGGGAAACCAAAATGGTGGCCGCGACGTCTGGTGACCTAATCTCTTAAAGGATTATCGCAGTGACAGAAGTGCAGTGACAGCGGCAAAGGAGAGAAAGAGAGATATGTTTCTGTTTCCGAAACGTTTCGAGTTACACGTTCGTCGCGTAAATTGCTATTGTTTCGGCAGTAAAACACCGCGGAGTTGCGTCGCTCGCGGCGGGGTCTCAGAGAAGAACCAACGAGGTGTGAACAAAGGAAGCGCCACATTTTTTCAGAAGAACGGCGCTCCGGAGTTTTCAATAGTGACGGTCTGCATCATGTGATTCGCGGGTGGTGCGACGCGCAGTGATATCCTTTTTTTCTCCTCTGCCTCGACGCGGACGAGTTTCGCGATCGAAGCGTTGATTGTCGTTGCCGCGCATCTTTAAATATAATCTGATCATGCGAAAATTAAATTTTAAATCGCTAACCAATTCTATGATTCGTGAAAACGACCGAAACGCTGCGAAATCTGCAACAAACGGTGCAACAGTGTGTTAATTCTAGCATCTACTTTGGAATCTTTTGTACAAAACGATTCAGAGTTGAATAAACGATCGCAAATTTCTGTGCAAATCATGGTTCGCATTTTTTGTTCGAGTAGTTCGCCATGCATGCGACGTACACGGGGTGCAATTACATAATTCGCATATCATGGTAGACGCTGTTTCAAGACTGCCGATGTTTGTGCGGACGAATAATTAATTGCAAGATTATCATCGGTGGCAACTGCTTCGTTCGCATTAGTATTAGTAGAGGCCTCGTTAAATTTGATCGAACTTCGAATACCGGCGGTGTCGCGCAATTTTTGTAAGTCCGAATGCACGAAGATCCGCAGTCTGTTCGCAAGCATCTTTTTCTGTCGTCGTTTTACGACTCGTTTGGAACCATTAAATCGCGATGCAATTTATACATGAACCGTTACGCCGCGAATGATTGAACGACAAGAGTTGACGACGTGCAATTTTAGGAGGAGCTTGGAGTTCTACGATCTCCTGCCGGAGGACCCGAAGCTCTACGACAAGATGCGGCCGCCGAAGAAAGATGGACAGGCAACCGTCGTCTATTTCCACGTCACCGTGATGGGCCTCGATTCCATAGACGAGACGTCCATGGTATTGTGCAACATTCACAGAAAGATCTAGTCTGTAAGACCCGGCAAGATCGCGGGAGCCTCAATAATAAGAAATGAAATTCCAAATGCGTTGCTTTTACATTCGATTTTCATTGCTCGACGTTGGCCAAAGCTTCGGTTCGTTTAATAAGTTTGCAGTTTCCAAGCGATTGTACAATTATCGTGACTTGTTTTCCGTAGACTTACGCAGCCGATATATTTTTCGCTCAGACCTGGAAAGATAACAGATTACGGTTACCGGAGAACATGACGTCCGAATATAGGTACGTGATCGTATCAAATTGACACGGTCTTCGAAGACTTGCGCGGTCTTCTAATTCGATCTCGCTGAATCTGATCGGAAGATTATTGTAACTTGCGACCAGATTACTAGAAGTGGACTGGTTGAAGAACATGTGGCGGCCGGACTCGTTCTTCAAGAACGCCAAATCCGTGACCTTCCAGACGATGACCATACCTAATCACTACTTGTGGCTGTACAAAGACAAGACTATTTTATACATGGTCAAGTAAGAGTCAAACAAATCGATACACTTTTCCTCGGCCTGAATCATTTTACTGGCTGCCATGCTCGCCTTAGTTCTACAGAATAACGAGCAATTCATCGGGAATTGAAACTTCGTTCGAATAATTAACCCTTTGCACTCGAATGACGACTTTGACGCGCCGCTAAAAATTGCTTCGCCATTTTTTCTTTTAAAGGAATTTTGTACATTGTTAAATTGGTTTCTATTTAAAGCGTTTATCTTACGAGCAAATAAGTTCAATTTGAAACTGATACAAAATCACGGTTACTACACGCTGAAAGAAATATGTTAATTTTTCAATTGAAATCGTTTCCAGTGCAAAGGGTAGATTACTGTTTTCCAATCATTTTTCTTGTAAAGAACAGGCATCTGTTTTCCATGTTTCAGACTAACATTGAAACTATCCTGCGCCATGAATTTCCTGATCTATCCCCACGACACGCAGGAGTGCAAGCTGCAAATGGAAAGCTGTGAGTTCACGTAAATGTTGTTGTTTAAAAATTCACGAAACTCGTACTGTTCCTTTGTAGCAACGACTGTTACACAATTTACCAACTATATTTATGCGGAACCTCATTCAACGCACTGTACGTTCTCTGCAATGTGTCCAATTACTTTGAAACCCAATTCAATCGAAACTTTTATACACTTTAAAGGGATTCCTTATTTCATTCGAAGACTAATGTCACTCTCAACGGCGTGGAATAATTTTCGTACGATCACGGCGGTTGGAAATTGATCCAAAAAATTGTCGTTGAGCAAATACAAGGTGTCCCAAAAATGTCTCGTAATCCGGATATGGGGTGTTCCTAAAGTCATCTTTTTACGTTTATTCGACGCGCGTATAAAAAATTTGAACCGCGAAAGTTCGAAGTATGCTTGCGATCGAGCGTTCTCGTAGTCGCAGTCCGACGTTCCCCGAAGCTTCTTCGCTCTCGGAACGTCGAATCTTCTTGTCACGCCTGTCAACCAAAGGGAGACAGTTCGTTTCCGTGCCGCTGGCTGCGATTCAATGGCAATCGAATCCCCTTCGGTTTGAAAAGTCGATGACGTTACTGCTCGCACACGAGCGTCCCTTGTTTCGGGCGGGGACGGCCCGGGGACGTCGAATAGGCGGGGTTGGTTCCCGGACGAACGATCTTTAAATTTCGTGCTTTCGGCGAACACCGGCCGATTTGACATCGACAAAATAACTCGGTCAACAGTGTCGCACACGACGGACGAGATGATCTTCCAATGGGATCCCGACGTGCCACTCGTCGTCGACGAGAACATCGAGCTGCCGCAGCTGCAACTGGTTAAGAATTACACGGCCGATTGCACGCAGGTCTATTCGACTGGTGAGTCACGAGAAAGGGAGCCGGGTCGCGTCGGTTCCTTTGTTCCCGCGTAATTAATCTGATTTGCGGGCCCGCGAGCGGGTCCATTCACGCGAGTCGTTTTCGCGCGCGAACGATTCCACGCGCCGAAACGATACGCCTCGTCCCTTCGTGCCTTTTCCGAGCTTCGTTAACGCCGCCGCGACGGCCACGGTGAATAGAAAGAAACTCGTCCGTAATAACAGCCGAATTCATGCGAGAATGGATTCGGCTCGCTATTAATAATAATTCCGTCGGACGACGATTTCTCGAATGAAACGGCTATCACGGTCGAACAAAGGATCCTCGACGTCGTCGAATCTCTCCCCGTTGTATTTAGAAGCCGCGAATCAGGAGTTTCCTGCTAATGCTCGCTTTTTTCTAGGTAATTTCACTTGCCTCGAGGTAATCTTCGTTCTGAAACGTAGGCTCGGATACTATTTGTTTCACACCTACGTTCCTACTTGTTTGATCGTCATTATGTCGGTGAGTGGACTGCCAATTTATGTTCCACGGTTGTACGCGTTGAAACGTTCGTGCAATTTACGGAATTCTCGTAGCTGTAAACCGCCGCGGATTTGGCGCATTTGTGACGAAATCGCGAAACTGAGACGCGAAACTGTAACAACATCGGGACGATCTAAAGATATCGTTACATTGTAAGCGGACCGGGGATTTTTATGCAAAATAAAAATTGTCTGCATCAAATAGGAATACGAGTAAATAAATGGCAATAGTTTGTACGCGTTAAATAAAAATGTAGTTTGCATTAGATGGAAACAGTTTGGAAGAAATAGAAACTAAACAGTAAATTCATTCTTTCTTTAATCACTCTACTAGATTCAAGACAAGACATTGTCCATTTTTAAATTCTTTTAATCTTTCATCTATTTCAAATCGCAACCAACCAATTTGTCGTAAATGCATTAAATCCGCAGTCTAATTGCGAGTTACGATATTATCTGTACATTTTGAACTAAACGAGAAGTAACAAAATTCTGTGATAGTTTCACGAACATTTTTGGCTCCATTTTTTGATACTCTCGTTTCAAATGTGTGTCTAATTTGTGACGTTTTACGCAGTGGGTGTCCTTTTGGATAAAACCGGAGGCAGCACCAGCGAGAGTGACCCTAGGCGTAACGTCTCTGCTGACCCTTTCAACGCAGCACGCGAAAAGTCAAGCGTCCCTGCCTCCGGTTTCGTATTTGAAGGCAGTGGACGCGTTTATGTCGGTTTGCACGATATTCGTGTTCATGGCACTAATGGAATATTGCCTGGTGAACATCGTTCTCGGTGATTCGGACGCGCCAGCTGCGAAACCGCCGCCTCCGCCTGCACCGCCTTCTTGCGGTGGTCCAGATTCAGCGAAACTCGATAAAATATTCGACATCGCCACCAAGGTAACGCTTAAGCGGAGGTGGATATCGAGATCAGACACGATCTGTGTCTCGGAGACAAAGGACGACAATTTTTAAGAGCACATTCACTATTATACTACAACTTTTCCATAATATCTTCGATATTGAACTTCGATTTTTATTACTTTATTCCAGTTCGCTATTATAGTTTGATTTTTGAGGCAACAGTTCAACATGGCATTCTCGATTTTCGATATTTAATAACTACATTTTATAATACCACCTTAACTATCATAATTCAGTTTTACAAATTTATAATCACAGTTTTTAATTATACTTTAACTATTACCCCGCAATTCTCAAGGTAATAGCTCAACATGACATACCCAATTTTCGATATTTAATAACTACATTTTATAATACCACCTTAACTATTATAATTCAGTTTTTTAAATTTATATAATCACCGTTTTTAATTATACTTTAACTATTACCCCGCAATTCTCAAGGTAATAGCTCAACATGGCATTCTCAATTTTCGATATTTAATAACTACATTTTATAATACCACCTTAACTATTATAATTCAGTTTTTTAAATTTATATAATCACCGTTTTTAATTATACTTTAACTATTACCCCGCAATTCTCAAGGTAATAGCTCAACATGGCATTCTCAATTTTCGATATTTAATAACTACATTTTATAATACCACCTTAACTATCATAATTCAGTTTTACAAATTTATAATCACAGTTTTTAATTATACTTTAACTATTACCCCGCAATTCTCAAGGTAATAGCTCAACATGACATACCCAATTTTCGATATTAATAACTACAGTTTTTAATACCACCTTAACTATTGTAATTCATTTTTCGAAATTTATAATCACATTTTTTAACACCACCTTAACTACTACTCTGCAATTCTCAAGATATTAACTCAACAAGGCCTTCTCAATTTTCTAAATTTATGATTACAACTTCGATCAGAGCATTCACTAAATTGTGCTTCAATTTTCGAAATCATCATATTCTCCACTAAAGGTTATTGCCAATACACACAGCCAGTGAACGATGTATTCGAACACTGTACTTCTGATTTTTGACAAATTGTCGATATTTCAACTGTTATAATTTCGCAAAAGCGCGTCGTACAACAGCGAACCTAAACTCATTTTAAATCTCGTAGCTTCTTCTTAAGCCATGCGTCGTTCATTTCCCTGCAACAAAAAGTTATTCAAAATCGAGCAACGAGGGATTCCTGAAGTCATTTGAAGTAACTTTTTCCTTGGCGCAAATGCAATCCGCGACTTTGTTTACGAATTATTAACGAAAAACAGTGACCAATGAGAGGCGAGATCAGCAGACGCGATGCGGCTTTGTGCGCTCGTTGGCTGGGCGGCACCGCGCCAGCCGAGCTCGCCTCTCATTTGTCACTGTTTTTCGTCGATAACTCGTAAACAAAGCCGCGAATTGCATTTGCGCTAAGGAAAAAGTTACTTCAAATGACTTCGGGAACCCGTCATTTCGGGATGTTGAGTAATTTCTGGGACAATGCGCCGGCGTTGAGGGCTTAATTTCCTGGACCATGCCTAAAGTTATTGTCGCTTTTGGACAAGTTTTTAGGCTATTCTCAACTGTTGATCTTCGGCTTTAAAAGGACTATTAGAAAATAAAATATAAAAAATATATATATATAATAAAATAAATATATATAATAAAATATATATATATATAATATAAAATATATATAATATAAAATATATATAATATAAATAAATAAAACGTCGGGTAGCCTCGACTCTCCAAAGATTCGGCCAAGAATAATCAATCTATAGCATCTAACACTCGAAGCTCCTAAGAAAAAAGGCCGAGCGAGTCAATGGCGACTGGACACCCTCCCGTCCAAGCGTCGAAGTCTCCGAGTCGCAGAGACGCAGTCCTGCCGCTCGCGGTTCAAATTCGAATCTCTCTCCCGCAGGAGAACGCCGTGTTGCTGACCGGTCGATCCCAGAATTCGTCGGCAGGTCCGATCCCGGTCCCCATACCCGGTCCAGCGCGCGGTGCTCCGCCAGGTCCGGCAAGAGGGGGCCCACCATCCGGGCCTCCACCGGGCCCTACGCCCGCTCAAAAGGCGCGGATGCGGGCGCTGAACATCGACCGGGTCTCGCGAGTCTTCTTCCCATTCCTGTTCGCTGTGCTAAACGGAACTTACTGGATTATGTTTGCCGAGTACATTTAAAGGGGTGCCGGAAGCTGACGACTACCCTAAACGGCCTCTCTCTGTCACTCAACGAGCTCGAGGAACACGCGAGAAGACGCCGCCTCGATGGAACCTCGACGGATACCTTGATGGATCGTCGAGGGATCGTCGCCCGTGGACGTTCGTGGACGCGGGACGAGGCGGCTCTTCGGGATGTCCTTCGGGACGTCCGTCGTAAGGTTATTCATTAATAAGGTTGTTTTTTTCAGACGGTCGTAACTAATCGAACAGTGTGATACAGAAGATAGAAGACGTTCAGGGTTCACTTCGGCCGGTAGATCGAAAAGTCTGGTACAATCGGATCGAGAATGATCGAATGGTTCACGGACGAATGATTTCATGTAATCGTTGGTACACTGAATCCTAGCGTCGAACAGTCTGTAAATATTAATTGCCTGAGGCTCGGTTTCGTCGATTTCGGGACTGCCGGGTGTAATGCTTCGAGAAACGAGTATTCTTCGATGATTTCGTTCGGTCGTTGTTGTCTTTCAATTTAGTTCTGTAGTGGCTATGATATTCTGAATTGAACAAGTTTCTGAATTCAACGTTATAACCAAGTTAATGATCGATAAATTGAGCACGAAGGAAGCGATAAATTAAGCACATCGTCGAACGTTATGTTTCGTTTATTATCGTTCGGTCGTTGTTGTCTTTGTATTTAGTTCTGTAGCGGGTACGATATTCTGAATTGAACAAGTTTCTGAATTCAACGTTATAACCAAGTTAATGATCGATAAATTGAGCACGAAGGAAGCGATAAATTAAGCACATCGTCGAACGTTATGTTTCGTTTATTAGGAACGCTAAGGATATTATTCCGAGCAATTTTATTTAAGCTTCTTATTTCCACCACAGGGTGATAATTTTATACTAGATCGCGTCACGATACATAGAATATAATAATTCGTTTTATTGATTGCCGATGAACTGAACAAGGAAGAATTGATTATGAAGAAAACGTAGGGGCGAATTACAAAATATTGTAGACGTATAATCATGTTTCATTGAACAGCAGCAAGAAGCGTTCCAAAAGAGGATTATTATAATCGTGCGATTTATAGTATTCGATTTCTGTACTTGCGTCAAACAGGAGCAGTGTTGTAGAAGATTGTACCAATTGTTGGAATTCAATTATTTCCTTGATCAACTAACGACAGATTAAACCGGAAGAGATTTACGATGAAGGAAATCTAGGTGAAATTACCAATTATACGTCGCGTTTTATTTCGAGCATTTCGAAAAAGAAATTTCTATCTAAAATCATCGTGTACTATACGTTAATTTGATTGTTTCTATTTGTATGAACGAGCAAGGGTTTTCCACGAAATTTTGTTCGAATTTCGTGCCGCAACAGAAAATGACGTGAAAATTTCTCAGAGATTAACGAGAACAAACGATAATCTATCCATCGTTCCTCGACTGTACCATGATTTTCAATCTACATATTCTGTGCAACAAAGCAGCGTGGGCACAGCGTTCGCTTAAGTCCGTTTCCAGCAACTCGATTACTGCGAGAATTCTGCGAGAATTCTGCGAGCGTTCGGGGCACGGATAAGCTGCGGGTTCTATTCAAACGTGCGAAATAAATCGTGAGGAACGAAGAAAATAATTGTCACACGATGGCGAAGTGATTAAATTGCGATTCGTGCAACGCAGACTGCTTTCGGCGGCGGTCGATTCTTTTGTTCCCGATCGAATGGAATTGAGGTGTTCGAAGAGGAGAGACACGTTGCACACCGAGCAAATCGATTCAGCTTGATCGCACCTGAATGAGTAAATTAACTTGTAATATGATCGTAACAGAAGCTTGTATCGTTAGTGAAGCATAAACAAATCGAAGTATCAGAAACATTTGCACGCATGGTTTGTTACCTCTAACGTGTAGGCGATCGAGAATCGTTTTCATCTTTACGTTCGACGAGAATTTAATTAAGCAATACCGGTATTAAGCGTTAAGTGTTAATCGCTGTCGAGAGTTATACGAACGTTACTATTAAAGAACAATTGATTTGGTTGTAACAACTGTATATTGATTGTATATAATTTCTTTAAAAAAAAAAAGAAGATTTATAACTAACTGCTAATTTCCGAAATAAACTATGTATAGTTCGAATAAGCCGATCACTCTTGTTTTCCTGTTTCGACCGCGACTCTACACTAAATGTAATTCGGTTGAACCAAAAATAAAGTTACTCGCTATGATACTTCCAATATCGTGATCTAACGACATTCACACGCGGAACAATAATATCTTAACGTACGAAGACCTCTCTGTGTATAATAAAAACGAAGAAATAATCGAGGACGATCGTCGATGAGATCTAACAACTAAATACGTATTACGTACGCATCGAGTGCTAATCATTAAGTTTGTTACGAATTGAAATTCCAAACCCGCAGATCTTTGCAGTAGCGACTTCAAACGTCCTTCGAAGATTCTATCCAAACGTTGATTGTTGACTAAAGGAGAACCGGTGCATCGATGCACGATAAATCATGTAGAATAATTATGTACTATCTCGAACGAGAGAGTTGAACTACTTCCGAGTATGTAATTATTAACGATGGGATCGAATTAAATCGGTCGGTCTGATGTTTATTTTAATTATCAAATGTATGGTGAATTATTTCTTCGTTTTTGTTTGATTTATACCGTTTCGTTACCGATCCCATTGTTAAGAATTATTAAACGTCGAGTGGCGAGCCACGTGTACAGCTAATAGATCGAGTAGTCACATGTTTCATATAGACAGAGGATTCTAGCAAAAACTCTATGTACGACGAATGTGGCAAATTTCAATTCCTCGTTTCGTTTCCCTACACTTCTTCGTCACCACGAATTTCTTTGTGAAATATTTTAGATCTTCTATATGATGTTATATTGAAATATTAAACGAGAGAATCATTGAAGTCTGTATGTGTTTTGCGGTTGTTCGTGTAAATGCCATCCCCCCTTTCCCCACGATTTTTAGGCCGAACAATGCTTTATTTTTTTAATACCGGAATGGTTTGTACTTATATTTCGTCTGTGATAGAATACATTTTCAGCAACTTTTAAGTTTCAATCTTAAATAATAATTGAACTTCGTTTAAAACTTCATGTTTTATTCAATGTTTTGAATAATTATCATTTTCGAGAATAATAACAATAATAATTATTATAATAATATATAATATAATAATTATTATAATTAATATAATATAATAATTATTATAATAATTATTATTATTTTTGAGGAGAATTCCGGTGAACACAATTGTTTGCTAAAGACCGAAATATTAATATTTGTTTTTGAAAATGAAATTTATATATTATCACGGACGAGGTATAGGAGTAAGACTTGACACTCAATGTATTATTTTGTCGCTCAAAAATGATGTAGCTTCGAAAGCTCCATTACCATTCACGTGTCGCGCTCATGTTTAAGATATTAAAGCTTCCTATAGTGAATATCGAATACGTAGATGTTTCATAAATATTTCCATCATTTAAATGTTCGTGCTGTATACATTTATTGCCTCGAAATAATATTTGACACTCGTAGTAGAAATGAAATATACAGGATATTCGCTTCTTGCTAACGTGCCTATTTTTTGTGAACTATCGATAACGTTGAGTGCGACACGAAATGGTAAAGGGGCTCTAGAACTTTCCAAAACTGAGATAGAAAAGCCCGTAAGATGCAATGTTCTAAATCTGTGTTTCGATATTTGTTAATCTAATTAGCTCGTAATGGATAAAGTAAAAATTCAATCGCAAAATGATGATTGTCATGCCATCTTTCTGTTTATTGCCAATTGTTGGTTTACAGCAAATTGTTATAGATGTCGCGACAGGTTTTATCTGTCATAATATGCAAGGAAATTGAATAATTATTAGAAACAAATGGGCAAGCTATCATTAGTTTATGTTACATATTTGGGACGAAAATTAAAAAATCGCATATGAATCTATTAATGTATAAACTTAATATAGTATAATTAAAAGTATGTTCTAGCAATTTTATATGTTATTATACTGTATTACTTGAAGATTCTCTATGAGATTATAATAAGAAATTCGAAATTGTCATATACTAAATTTAAACGAATTTTATTATAAATGTTGTCTGCTCTTCAAAATGTTGACGACAAAATGGAAGTGATTTTGTCTGTGTTTACGTTCTACAGATAGATAGTAAAGCGTATACAAAAAAGTAATACGGAAATTGTTGCGCAATCTAAAACCCACTTCACTTTTTATTTTGTTGATGATTTTTATCAATTCGTTGAATTTTAATTTAATGTGCATTTCATCGATTTTAACAATGATCACATATCATTATCAAGTTAAATCTCAATATTAATGTAAAAAAAAATATGATATGATTTCTTAATTACGAAAATTGTAAAACACTCAAAATTTGATAGCTTAAATTCGAAGCATGTATCGCGATTTTTTCAGTTTTATTGTGCCTATTTTATAAAATGTCTTCCAAATACATTAATTTACTTACCGTAATTTGTTGTTTTAAAAATTTAAATAAAATAAATGCAAAAATGTACAGTAATTAAAAATTAACAAATTCTGTTATAACATCTTGCATTTTTTGGTAATTTTATATTTCCCAGTATGCAATAGCATTTTGAAATAGAATGTACATGTTCGAAATAACCACTTGTAGAGCTACGATTCGGAAAAAGTAGCTTTTACTGTTTGTATGAAATAGGAGATAAATAAAATATAAGAAGACAGTAATAATGCGTAATATCGAGATAAAAGCGAAAATTAGTGATCCAGAGAACAAAATTTCCTTAACTAAACAAATTACGGACTCTGAATGCAAAATCATAAAGCAGCATGACACATTTTTCAAAGTAGCAGAAGGTCGATTAAAACTACGAGAATTTGAAGTAAGATCATTATTTTTTTCAATAAACTAGATTTCCTTTCATTCATAATTACACATACTATGTTTATTTTATTTGTAAGTATGTATATTAATTTTATTTTATGCATAACTACAAACCATCATAATCAAAAGCAGTGATGAAAATAATTAAATGATTATTCAATAACTTAGAAGTTTAAATCTAATATATGTATACTTTATGCAGTACAATAAATGTTAGAAATACAATGAAGTAATTGTTTGTCAATATACAGGATGGATCAGGAGAATTATTATATTACAAAAGATCAAACATTTTGGGCCCGAAGCTGTGTGACTACAAGAAGACAAGTCTAAATCCCGATGCTTGTACCGGAGTTAAAAATATTTTAACTGAGTCAAATGGTTGTTTAGGTATTGTTAAAAAGACTAGGAAGTTATATATGGTTGGTGAGACCCGTGTGCACATTGATGATGTAGAAGGTTTAGGAAATTTTATGGAGTTGGAGGTACAAAGTAGTAAAATAATCTTAACCAGCATTCTTCTAAATAAAGTCATGCGCATTAACTGGTGTCAGTGAAATTGTTGAATAAATATTGTATTCTTGTAAATGTTCTAGGTTGTTTTGTCTGATGATAGCACTATCGAGGAAGGAGAAAAAATTGCTCAAGATTTAATGACAAAATTAAGCATACAAAAGGAAGATCTAATTGCAAATGCTTACATAGACTTGTTATTAGATAAGTAAATTATATAACTGCAGAAATATATATTTTATATAATTAAACTCATACTACTCTGTGTGTAATCATACTACTACTTTATGTGTTAGACTTGTATTGAGACCTCAATACTCTTACGAGTGAAATATATATTTTCACAGAGAGGACCAACTAGTACATGTATTTTAATATCTTAATCATAAAACCTTTCTAAGAGAGTATGATATACAAAGAGGGAGAACTCTTGAATATATTAGAGAGAACTAATATTCTAGAGAGAGAGAGAGAGAGAGAACTAATATCTATATTAGAGAGAACTCTTGAA